TAGTCAGAACACACAAAGCAAAACATGGGAAGTGGTCAACATCTTTACAGTGTTCTTGTGTGTTTCACCTTGTTTTGGCAACACTTGTTGCACCTCCCACAGCGCATTAGCTTCCTAGGAAGGAACTAGGGAGGGCTATAATGTTAACTTTAATTATGCTAAGAGGTCTCTGCCCTCCAAGCTGAGACTTGTTTGTGGCCCTGCCACAGGTCAATCCGAGAGTTAACCCTATAGCTGCTTCCTACAAATATCAGTGGTATTGAAGGCATGACCTCCCTGAGAAATGCAGTACTGTATTCTAGAGGGTATACTTTAAGTACTTTATTCCTAGGAAGTTGTGTGAGCAGAACATATGAAAGGTCCACATGAGGTCGGTTTACACATTTAAACTTTGCCCTGAAAACAATCTGAAGTCAATGGAGGGTTTTAAGAAGAAAATAAAAGAAGAAATGAGATAATCAGATTTGCATTGTAGAAAAATTACAGTTCCAGTTTGGGCTAGAGGCCAGAAAACTAGTTAGAGGACTGTTGCAGGACCCGAGGCAAATACTGGCTGAAGTAGTGACAGTCAAGATAGAGATTAAGTCAAGAGATTCTAGAGCACATGTGTCAAACACAAGGCTCGAGGCCCAAATCTGTCCCGCCAGGCCTTGCAGTGTGGCCCGCACCGCGCTGTCATCACTGCACTCCGCTGCGTTTCCATCACAATGACAGTTTATGACTGTTCAGTAAACCATTCGGCCCGCGATTTAGGCTGGATTTTAGATTTTGGCCCCTTCTCTGATTGAGTTCGACACCCCTATTCTAGAGAGATTCAGAAAGTAGGATTAGGTGTTTCTAGGAAGAGGAAGCAAGAGACAGTGGATGAAAGGTGTTGCTGATTTGAGGAATACAGAAGAAATAGTTTGGGGAAGAATCATGAGTTTTGTTTTGAAAATAATGAATTTGAGATGCCTACAAGATATCTAAGTGGGTTTTTTCCATAGGTAATTGGATTTGACATCTACTGCACAATAGAAAAATCTGGGCTAGGTCTGTTTATATGGTAGCTATTAATACTTTCTGGTCATTGTGGAGACATGCCAGGGGATAAAATATTCATTGAACAGTTTACACTATGCATTTAGAGATGGCACACAGACCATTTTACTGTTCTCCAAGTACATCTCTGACCCTCCTCTATCGTCTCTTCCCTCCATCCACTTTCCTTTCCCTCCTCAAATCCCAAAACAATAATTTCACATATTTTACTGAAATAGGAATAATGTGTATTATAAGAAGAGTATACCATTAGTTTCTCATCCTTCACTTACTTTTTACCTGTTTTCTTTTTTAATATATTTTTTATTGATTTTATACAGAGAGGAAGGGAGAGAGAGTGTTAGAAACATGGATGAGAGAGAGTCATCGATCGGCTGCCTCTTGCACACCCCTTATTGGGAATATGCCCACAACCAAGGTACATGCCCTTGACCAGAATCGAACCCGGGACCTTTCAGTCCCCAAGCTGACGTTCTATCCATTGAGCCAAACCGGTCCTGGCCTAAGTGTTTTCCTTATTAAGAATTCTTTTTAAAGCCGAAGCCGGTTTGGCTCAGTGGTAGGTAGATCGTCGGTCTGCGGACTGAAAGGTCCCAGGTTCGATTCCAGGCAAGGGCATGTACCTTGGTTGTGGGCACATCCCTGATAGGCAGCTGGTCGATGTTTCTCTCTCATCAACATTTCTAGCTCTCTATCAATCTCCCTTCCTCTCTTTAAAAAATCAATAAAATATATTTTAAAAAAAAGAATTCTTTTTACTAAGATAACATTGTATTATTACTTACAATGTTTTCTTCCCATTTTAGTGTCTTAAAGACTTTTCTACATGATCCTCTTGTGGAATGGAGTAAACCGGTAAAAGGGCATTCCAAAGCACTACTGAATGAAACTGGGGAAGTGGTTAATGAAAAGGTTAGTAGAAGGTATAGCTTGATGTAAGCTGATATTGTATATCTCTACAAATGAGAACTGGTTCCAAATACTATCAGTGACTGGTCAATGAATACTCTGAAATCTAGTCTCTAATATTCCAATGCCCTAAGTTTTCTTTATTACCTTTACTAATATTAACATTATTTTTAAAAATATATATATATTTTATTGATTTTTGATAGAGAGGAAGGGAGATAGAGAGTTAGAAACATCAATGAGAGAGAAACACCAATCAGTTGCCTCCTGCACACCCCCTATTGGGGGTGTGCCTGTAGCCAAGTTACATGCCCTTGACTGGAATCGAACCCAGGACCCTTCAGTCCGCAGGCTCTATCCACTGAGCCAAAACGGTTTCGGCTAATATTAACATTATTATCATTTGTATAATACAAGCATAGTTGAGGACACACTTGTTTAAACCATAGACAATTTATAATTATGAGATAGAGTGGGGAAAATTTGAACACAAATTGTGTGGACTTACAGAGCAGTAGGCCTCAGCTTTAATGTTTTAATCTAATTTTACATTAATCATAATAAGTACATAAGTACTTAATATATAAACTCAGTTGATACTCTAATAGAAGTAAATTGCCAATAGCTGTTAAATTATATCACTACATTTTTATTGCAAAATATTACTTATTTAAGCACTTAAAATGGTGCTTAGATTAAGACATGGTAAACTGTTGACATGTAATAGTACTATTATAATACAATAGTTACATTTATGAGTCTACAACAGATGTAGTTAGTAGTTGTTATGTTAAAAAAATTTACTTGCACTAATAAGTCAGGATTATAATAGCAACAAACTTATTCACTCAGCTCCTGAGTATGTCAAGTTTTACAGTTCACATTGAAAATAATTTCTTCTATCAACACTAAAAATTTTTCTTCTTTCCCTACTAATATTCCCTGGTATTTCAGATAGTTCAGAAATATGTCTAAATAGTTGATATTGGATCAACATTGCAAGACTTCAAATCAATATCTTGTAATTATACTTGTTTTCTTTTCTCATATTTGCTCTGACAAAAAGGATAATAATCAACAAAATGGCACTAACATTTGTTAAATAACAAAAAAAGTAGTAATTCCAAATTATCAACATGCTTATCTTATTGAGTCCTTAACTCTTATGATTTTCAACTTCGTCTTTTTAGGCCAAGACCCATGTTCTTGACATCGAGCAGCGACTGCAAGGTGTAATCAAGACCCGAAACAGAGTGACAGGGCTGCCCTTATCTATTGAAGGACATGTACATTACCTTATACAAGAAGCTACTGATGAGAACTTACTATGCCAAATGTACCTTGGTTGGACCCCATATATGTGAAATTAAATCACTTCACATATGTTAATAATTGAAAATTAAAATATTTGGTATTACTCTGTTTTTACCTATTGAATTACAAAGTACAATATAAGTTGCATTATGTTCTCAAAGCAACTGGTATTATTTCTCCCTTTATGTTAACATTTAAAATAATATGTTTTTATTAAGAAATAAACTGCTTTATTACTATGTACTGTGTATTATAATCAGAAATAGAACAACAAATATTCTCATACTCTAAAAATATTTATTTGCAATAAAGCAAGCCAGCCTTATTTCATTTTACACCTTTTATTTTTAAGTACTTGGTAGCATGATTCATTTGGACAATAAAACTGAATAAATTATGTGGACAGATCACTGTGTTAGATTTGTACACAGAACTTATGTCCCCTGCCCTCTAGGAACTGTCAAACTAGTAAAATAGATAGCTTAACAAAAAGCACATCATTATGTTCACTTAAAACTTTTTTTTTACATACATATATTTTATTGATTTTAGAGAGTAAGCGAGAGGGAGAGAGAGAAACATCAATGATGAGAGAGCATCATTGATTGGCTATTTTCTGCATGCCCCATACTGGGGACTAAGCCAGAACCCTGGGGGTGCGCCCTTAATTAGATTGGAAATGGGACTCTTCAGTCCACAGACTAACGCCCTATCCACTGAGGCAAACCGGCTAGAGCAAAACTGTTTTTGTGTCGTTAAAAGTGTGATATGGAAGAACATAACACAAGTATGAATATGAAAACTATATAAATATTGTTATTGTAAAGATGTTGCCATACTGAATGTAGTGGTCTTGGAAGACAGCAATACTAAAAATTTCAAGAGATTTTAAATGTATTTAAAATTTGTTTTTTTCTTGCCAAGGATTTAAGATAATTTATAGAATTATGAAGCAATGAGATTATTACATTCAAATAAATGGAAAACTTTTATAATAGATGATTGCACTTAAATTCGCTTTAGAGAACGCTGCTTTTTTGCAGTTTAGTTTGGGGAAAACAGGATAAGCCCAAAGGTATAAAGGTGAAAAGTAAACATAATTTCCAATTGAAGGCCTTATATTAAGAGTTATGGAGGAAGCCGGATGGAGTTAGGTGTTTTTTTTTTTAAACTTGTTAAACAACATTTTTAAAAGAAACTGTTGTGTGTGTGTGTCCCTCAAAGAAAAGAACTCACTAAACCAAACAAAACTAAACCAAATAAATCACGTGATCTTTTCAAATCTGTGTTGAAAAATACTGAGATGAGCCCTGGCCCTGTCCTCAGGGGTTAGAGCTTGGGCCCTTGCACAAAGGGCGGCGGGTTCCATTACTGGTTAAGAGCAGGTACCTGGGTTGCAAATTTGAAGGTTTGATTCACCTCTCTCTCTGTCTTTCTCTCCCTCTCCCTCTTCCCCCTCTCCCCTCTCTCTCCCCCCTCCTCTCCTTCCCTCCCCTCTTCTCCCCTCTTTTATTCCCTCTCCCTCCCTTCCACTCTAAAAAAGATTACAGAAAAAAATTGAAAATACTGGGATAGTATCCCAGGAGACTGAAGCCTACAGGACAAAATTCAGGGTCCAGAGGCATTCTCAGGGCTAAGCACCCACGCACGCTCCAAACCTAGCACGAGCGGGCGCCGCACCGATGCCGCTCTGCCCTGAGGCCTCCAGGCGGCCGCTCTACCCGACGGCGCCCACTCTATGGTCGGGCGGGCGGTATGTTGTCATCAGTAGAGCGACGGCGGCGGCTGCCCAGCGGACGTTAGGTTTCGGTTTGGCCCTCGGTGGGATTGTGTTGAAGTGGAGATGGGAGTCCCCAAGTTTTACCGGTGGATCTCGGAGCGGTACCCCTGCCTCAGCGAAGTGGTAAAAGAGCATCAGGTGGGTGAGCGGCCCGCGGCTTTCTCTGCTGCCCGCTCGCTGTGGGCCGACTAGGGGTCCGGGAAGGAGGGCGCCTGAGGTGTGGGGACCCCGTGGCTGAGGGGGCGAGCCAGGGGCTCTCGGGACGGTCGTGACGGCGAGGGGACCTGCGCGCTGGCCACTCAGTCCGGGGCTGGCTCCGGGGGCGTCCTACTGCCGCAGCGGCCTGAGCTCCCCCGGGCGCGAGCCCCTGGGGCCTCCCGAGCCCGGAAAACACCCCGCGTCGCGGGCGCCGCCCCACAGGAACCCGGCTCGCGCCTGAGAGCCTCTGCCCACTCTTCCCCCTTTCTCCCCGCCTGAATCTAGCACTGCCGAACCCGCGTCCCATTCCAAGAGAACAAAAGTACACTTGGAAGGGCAAGGGTTGTTTGGAGGCTCGTGTGTGTGTTGAGTGTTTGTGTTGGGGATCTTTGTGTGTTAGGTGTGTGTATGAGGGGTGTGTGTGTGTATCTGTTAAGGGTTTGTGTGTGTTAGATGTGTGTATATGTGTTAGGTGTGCTTCTATGTTAGATGTGTGTGTTAGGTGTGTGTGTGTGTGTGTGAGATGTGTGTGTGTTAGAACTCTGTATTGGAACTCTGAGAAGGGACTAGAAAGCAGTCAGACTGCTAGGCTTTGGGTGATAGGTTAGTGTTTGTTACATTTAATGATTTTAGTAGATCTGTTGTCCATTCTGTATTTTGCAGAAAATAATTAGTTTTGAAATGTGTATCACTAATTGAGTTAGTTGTGGACTGCATTGTATTTGTGGTTGTGCATATTAATCCTGGAAACACCATCGTGCTCTCTGTGGAGTTATAGGTTAAATTTTTTTTCAAGTACTATAGCATGAAGGTAGGGTAAAACTTCCAGAAAGAATTCTTTGTTGTTGTTACAGTCAAATTTGGTATATGAGGAAAATTTACAAAAAAATTCCAAAATGGTAGTTAATCTTTAATTTATTTGAAATATGGGTTGAGTTAGATTTAGGGAAACACTTCTTTCCAGAGAAAAGGATATAAGAGGTTACTAGTACATTGCAGAAAGGGACACAGCTAACTTTGGCTTTTCTTGGTCCTTCATTCAGAAAACACTGAACACTGTTATTCAGACTCATTTGATAATACATAATTTGTTCAGTAATATTTTTACTTGTTACTCTTTGACATGGAATTTGGTTTGGTGAAAGTATGTGATTCTCTCCATCCTGAAGATTTTGTTACTGAAGAACAAAAATAATCTCTTTAAAGGAGTTTTATGATATGAACAATAAGGATAGTTTTCAATTGGTTCATCAAAATGATGTCTTTCAAAAATGTTTGATTCTGGTTGTTAACAAAAAACAGCAACAAAAGCAGATGTTATAAAGGGTTACCATGCAGTGCTTGCAAGATGAATGGTGCCTAAATGAGTCACAATAGTGAAAAGCTAGTCTTGGGGAAAGAAGCTGGAAAGAGGTTTGGTTGAGGGGTAAATTCTGGAAAGTTGGTGGTGATTGTGGTAGTAGCATAGATTTTGGTCTCTGAATCCTTACATAAAGATAGAAAGAGTAATTAGCAAAAAATTTAAATGCCTAGAACAATTGCAATAAAATGTACCCTGTTTCCCCGAAAATAAGACAGTGTCTTATATTAATTTTTGCTCCCAAAGATGCACTAGGTCTTATTTTCAGGGGATGTCTTATTTTTCCATGAAGAAGAATACGGTACACATTTATTGTTAAATGAAAATAAAGGAAATTTATTACCTGTATACGGTACGGTAGTACGGTAGTTGTCAATACAAACCAGACAAACTGAATCCTACAATATCAAGAATTTACTCATTTATTCAATGACAATCATGTCATCATCTTCTCTGGAACATCATCATAACAATCCAATTCCTGAATTTCCTGGTGAATTTCTTGTGACTCCATTTCTTTCAGAATCAGTGGACCAAATCTCTCATATTTAGCCTAGGGGGGCCTTATTTTGGGGAGGATTCCTGAAGGAAACCTGTAAGTAGGTCTTATTTTCGGAGGATGTCTTATTTTCGGGAAAACACGGTAATCAGAGTATCTCTATAAACCTCCAAATACAAGGAGATGGGAACAAACTACCAAGAGCCTTTTTTTTTAGACCCAATCAGTATTTTAATCTCTACAAGACGAAGAAGGAAGCAATGGGGCAACATCAGATATGCTCACCCTAAAGAGAAACTGCTATGAGTGAAATATCTATTATAATCTATTAGAATATCTATTATAATAAAAGCATAATATGCTTATTAGACGATGATGACCTTCTGGATGAAGCCAGGGCTGCAAGAGAAGCCTGGGGCCCAGGTGCCAGAAGGAAGCTGGTGTTGGCAGCCAGGGGAAGGAAGGCCTACTGTTGCATGAATTTGGTGCATTAGGTCTCTAGTAAGTTTATAAGAAAAGGTATAATAGAGATAAAAGAAGTAGGTCCAAATAAAGGTGAGAGGGTTACAGAGCCAAGAAATCTTAGAGTCCTGGCCTCTGTGGCTAAGTTGGAGTATTGTCCTGTACAAAAGGTTGCAGATTCAATTCCCAGTCAGGGCACATTCCTAGGTTTTGGGTTTGATCCTAGGTTGAGGCTACTGGTCAGTGTTTCTCTCTGACATCAATATTTTTCTCTCTCTAAAATCAATAAATATATCCTCAGGTGAGCATAAAAAAAAGAAAAAGAAATCTTAGAAACAAACCACCAACCAAACCCCAAACAGAAGAGGGATCTTTGTGAAGTTAAAGCTTTACAGAATCCCCTCATTCTAAAAATTTGAGAAAATTAAATTTACATAGAAATGAACAACTGAAATGAATCAAGGTCAAATAGCATGCTAAATTATTATAGGAGGAAAAAGAAGGAACTAAATTCCCTCCAGAGAATAAATGCTTATAATAGAATGAGCATACAAAACAGACCAAAACAATAACCTACAATTTCAGAATGAGCTAAAAGTCATAAAGAAAATTATATAAGCCATTAAAGAACAACATATGTCAATTATGAAAATTCTGGAATAAGGTGATAGAACCTAGGTAAAAACAGACATAAATGGAAAAATTATTTCAGAAATGAAGCCTTAAATAGGAAGGCAAGAGCAAAGGAAAACAAAAGGTGAAAAGAATAAAATTTAAAAGATAAAATAAGTTTCAAGAGAAAGTAATAATAAAGACAAATAATAGGGGTTTCTGAAAAAGGAAATGAAGACAACATAACAACAAATACTAAAACTATAGTTAAAACTTTTTTTTAATTAAGATATATATATTTGAAACTGCATGTTGAAAGAATATACCAGGTGCCTACGACTATTGATTCAGATGACCAACACCAACACCTATTCTAGTAAAGTTACTTGACTTTAAAGGAAAAAAATAAGCTTTGGGTATTTAGAAGAAAAGAATACATGTCTTAAAAGGAAAAGAAAATTAGGTTTTCATCACAGTTTTTATGCTAGAAGGAACTGGAGTAACATGATATTCAACTGACTTTTGCATAGAGAGAATCCTATATAATAAAGCATGCAAATTGACCATCATGCCCTCACAAAATGGGTGTCTACAACCAGGCCGGCAGGGGGGTTAGTGAGGGATGAGCATATGACTGAACAAGCAGGCTGCGTGGGGTGACCAGGCTGGTGGTGAGGCCATGAGGGGTGACCAGACCTGCAGGGATGCAGTTGGGGGCAACCAGGTTGGCGGGGAGGTGCAGTTAGGGGCAACCAGGCAGGCAGGCAAGTGAGCAATTAGGAGCCAGCGGTCCAGAATTGTGAGAGGAATGTCCAACTACTGGTTTAGGCCCAATCCCAGCAGTTGGACATCCCCCAATGATCCTGGATTTCCCAAGGTCAGGGTGGATTTCATGCACCCGGCCTCTAGTTACCTAGTAAACTGTTATCAGTGATTCAAGGAATATTGTTCCTTTAGGTACTTCCTTGAGGAATAGAGAGAATGAGCTTCAGAAAAAATGACCAGGGAGACATCAATGGAAGGATCAGTGGTGAACATTAAGTTACTTGTAGAATGAAAATTAAAAAAGTTGACAGAGAAAGTTTAGTATATATAGTAAAACATCAATATAATGATCTAATTTGGGCACAAGGTTGTCCATTAAAGCCTTAAGTCCATTATTAATGTAGGGTTTCTGTAGCATATGTTAAAAAATTGACAAATTAATATGTTTTTATATTGACATATTTGTGTGATTAACATTAAATATTTATGAAAAGTTTAATTTCATAGAAAATTTTTCTATTTATACTATTGTAATTTTAAACTTATACTGAATAGGTCAGGTAGATGCGTGCATTCACCAGTCCCCTTGAGTAAACAAATGCACATGGCTGGGGCATGGCTTAGAGTACTGGGAATAACAACTGAGAAGAGTTAAAACTGCTGCAAAAAGTCAGGCCAGGTGACAACAGAACCAATTACTGTATGCAATGAATGTGATCATGTGCTGATCATTCCTCAGACATTTACATGGGTGGCTCTTGGATTTAAATAGGTAGACTATACTTGTAGATGTCTAATATTTACTTATATTATGGAAATTAGTGTTTTTTCCAACATATGGGCAATTCGCCAAAATTAGTTAAAAGTAAGAGTGATTAATAACAAAAAAGCCTGTAATTTAATTACAAGCAATTATTGATTAAAAGCATTTAAAAATTAACATGCTGTTAATTTTCACATATGACATATGGACCTGAAATTTTGTCTGTTAAATCTGAAGTCCATGAAATTGAAGTTCACAAAATTGAGGGTTTACTATAATAGCTATATGCTCTGACAGTATATAGGTAGCATAACTATAAAAAAAAATTTTATTGATATTTTACAGTGAGGAGGAAGGGAGAGAGATAGAGAGCTAGAAACTTCAATGAAAGAGAAACATCGGCCAGCTGTCTTGCACACCCCCTACGGGGGATGTGCCCGCAACCAATGTACATGCCCTTGACCGGAATCGAACCTGGG